CGGGACAGCCCTGCTGCCCCTTACCCTGCTTCCGATGGCTGCCCGCAACCCTACTTCCCAGCGGCCAGTTCCCCCCTTTTTCCCCCCCACCTCCTCCCATCCCGCCCCACTCTGCTCCCCTCCCGGCAGCCATGCTGAGGCTGGGTATTTTTTCTCCGCTGCCCGGTACCGGGCCATGGCTCATAGTTTGGGAAATGCTGCTGTAGGGTATTTGGTTTCTTTGGGCAAGGCAATGAATGTTGGGTCCTGGGGTTTCCCTTTGACTTCATTGGGTACTGGATAAGGCCCTTAGAGAAATGAAGGAAGAACCCTGTTCTTGTGCTATTTAACATGCTGTGGAATTCATGTTTTTGTAACTGTGTTTTTCTGCCCCCTAGGAAAATGCAAGTACAATAGTATTTCGCATGATTGATAAAGTTTTGGCACCAGAACTCATTCCGTCCATTTTGGAGAAATTTATAAAACCATACATACATGAACATAAATTACAACAGGATGAACTTCTCTTGCAGTATATAAAGGTATCCATTTTCTCTTTCTTTTTAAAGGGATGCTACTCTAGGCATGAAATCAAGTATGATTGCTATTTACTCTTAAGATTTAGGACCAGCTTCTGATACCCTTACTTCTGGGTACAATCCTGTTGATTTGAATGATAAAATCTGATCTTTAGTGTTTGAATTATGGAATGCTTTTGCCGTAATTCTAAATCTTTAGTGTATTAAACCGTGTTTATCAAATACTCAGGACTTGCTAGAACGCTATCGTACACGGTCTACATCAGTTTTTGAATCTCCGTGGGAGGCAAAAGCAATAGCTGTCGTTGGCTGCATATCTGATATAGATGTAAGTATATTAGATAAGGATATTACGCTTGCCTGTTCTCTTATGAAAGAATTATGTTTATATTCAAGAACAGAATTCATTGTGTGGTAGGAGTAAGAGATGGGACAAATATCATCCTGCCTTTCAGTCAATCCCAGAAGGATTTGTTTTGCTTTGTCTAGTGCCTTTTCCTTTTCCTAGGAAGGTTGTTTAGTTTCTGCTTTCCAGCTGTCCTTATAGGGTAGCAATGCAAGGTGCTGAGTACTTTCAATGATCATGATTTCAGGGGGAGTCAAAATGGTGCCTCTTGGGAGAGTGATTGTTCACTGCCATTATCATTGAGCCACCAGCATTACCTCAGTCTCCATAGCTTTGTAGTTGTATGTTTCTCTTTCACAAGAATTGTTTCATTACCAGCAGTTATGATGCATATAATATTTTATAATATAAAAGTTGCATTGCATGAGCAACTTGTTGAGTTTTAGTCATTTAACAATATTTGGACCTACCTTCAATAACTTTATAAAGCCGTCAGGAAAGCGTGCATGATTTAATATTGCACAGATTGAACCTGTCTGGTCCAGCATAATTTTAGATAGCCGGATGTGCACTTATGGGTGGGACCAAGTTTCCTGCAATCCCATGAAGTTTGTTTACAGCCACTAGTGCTGGTTCTGGGTGTTCTGTGCTGTTATTTAGTTCTAATTTACCTTTAAATGTTTTATAAGACTCCAGTAAGCAATGGAAGTGTTGGTAGTGCTGCTAGACCATATTAACCTTCTCTGGTTTGGCACTGGTCAGGTCCTGAGGGTGACAGATTAGAGAGGTTCAACCTGTACTTAAAGTTTGGAAGAAGCTCTCCAAACCCTTTATTATGATTGCTAAAAGACAGAAACTTAAAAAGAAAAGCATACTACTTAGAAAACGTTATAGATACATAGCACATCTATGGGAATTATGCATGTAGAACCCTGGTAGAATTAGACTATAAATTATGATACAGGTTGTAGTTCCTTAACTGGGACTCCCTGGTCTAGCAACATCCGTGGTCTGGCACTGACCATGTATGTTCCTGGACTACAGAGCTCAGAAACAAGGAGGTCTGGCGGCGGGTCAGGAGTTCCATAGAGGGCAACAGCAACTCAGCCATGAACCCAGTATATGTGTGTGAGGTAGAGGAGCAGGCAGCACAGTGGCTGGGATGCTCTGGTTCCTTAACTGGGACTCCCTGGTCTAGCAACATCCGTGGTCTGGCACTGACCATGTATGTTCCTGGACTACAGAGCTCAGAAACAAGGAGGTCTGGCGGCGGGTCAGGAGTTCCATAGAGGGCAACAGCAACTCAGCCATGAACCCAGTATATGTGTGTGAGGTAGAGGAGCAGGCAGCACAGTGGCTGGGATGCTCTG